GATTTCAATTTTGTGTGGAAATAGCGATAATCGGATCAATTCATAGATCACGTGATGTTTTATTGCCTAATATTTATAATCCTTTTGTTATTGTTTGCAATTTCGCGTACGTTTACAATGCAATGCATTGATTGGTTGAGTCACCCCTCACTCACACAATGTTACGTTTGTTGTGAATGTTATCTCCATAGAAATAATGATATTGAGTACAGAGTAAGGAAACAATTTGTAGACATTTTGCGTAAGAATAATACGCATTGATGTCAATACGTGAGACGAGAGCCTAAAACGCATGTCTTGTTGTGAAACGCATTTCAAATACGTTTCAAAACAAACCGTTACTTTCGCTGAAGACTTGATCCCAAAGTTTGTCCATTGGTTTCGCGTTTGCATTAAACGCCAAAAACAGCGATGAATTCAATCCACAAATACATCGCAAACGTGTTCACCGAAGAGGACGACTCGATGGAAGTCGACAACAACTTCACCGAAAGATATTTGTCTCAGTTCTCGGCCATCGATCAGCAGTCCATTGATGTGATGGTCGACAACGGATATCAAGACAAGGATTCGCTGCTGGCCTTCGACATCAAGGAAGACTTGCCACTCCTTCCCGACCTGAATATGGCTCAGAAGTCACTGCTGAGGAAGGCATTGAAGCAGTTGCACGACAGCCAAGAGTTGGAGTCCAAAGTGAATGACATTATGGGCGTTGAGACCGAAGAGCTCTTTGCCAACACTTCCAGAGCCAGAAGTCAACTGAAGCGGAAGCGCGAGTCGACGACAATGACGTCGTCGCCGAAGAGGAGTCGCTCGTCGGACGCCACCAACGATGCGATGACTGGCTATCAGTCGCCGCCATTCAGCGACGGTTTGGGCACAAGAATGAGACAAATGATAAGCGGAAGGAAATCCATTCGTACGGCCAATGCGTCGGACTTGGAGTCAGACATTGACACCACTTTCACGTCCAAGAGGTTGAGTCGAAGCAACGCTTGGAGTAACCGACAGAACGATAGCTCCGAAGACACGGATGAACCCGAAGACACGAAACCGGACGTAAAGATAGTGATGAACACAAAGACACTGAGAGGACGGCCGTCGCGAAAGTCTGCGGCGACACCGAAGTCGACGCCATTGGTTGTGTCGAAAGACACCCGCAATCCACTTGATTTGAGTGGACGCACGACTCGCACACCGACTGCCAGACCGTCGACAACACCGACGCAACCCAATGGATGCAATGGACGGACAGACACTTATGTGCCGACGCCTACAGAGATTGAAGTCAGAGAACGGTTGGCGCTGAAGAAGGCGACCGCGAAACCAAAGAGGGGTCGCAAACGTTAACTCTTAAGACATCCAGTGGTCTCTTAAGACATCCAGTGGTCTCTTAAGACATCCAGTGGTCTCTTAAGACAGCTAACGATTACTGCATTTGTTTCCGTCGTTTTTGTTTAATTTAAACGCGATTTCAATATTTATTGCTTTGATATACCCTTTGATTTGATTATAGCCTTAATTCGTTCAAATAATTACAACTATTTTTTTAATCAATACTTAATGTTTATTTCCATTTGTTTGTCATTTATATAAATGTTAATTTTAATCACATATTACTTCTGAATCACATTTTGTTTGATAAGTTTTAAAGCGTGAAAAGTTTGATTACAATATTTGTGTGAAATCTGAATGAAATAATTTATATTTGATATGAACTCAAGTTTTTGGATTTGTTAATGAATTACCGGTAAAAATGTTGAATCAATTGCTAATGAATACTGTATTTGAAACTAAATAAACATTAATTTAATGCAAGTTTTCAGATGAATAGTCGTATCGAAGGGTCTCTTCGTTCATATTAATGACGGTTTCGATCATATCGTCGAAAGTTTGGTCCAAAACGGAGTCGATTTGGCTCTTCGTGTCATTCAATAGACTACTGTCACTGGAGGTCTCGCGTGGACTCAGAGGGTATCGGACGAGTAGATCGAGTCGATACATGTCCGGCACTTCACCACCAATTGACTCGTCCATCGCTTTTGGCAACTCTTGTGTCTCTCGTATTGTCTGCAAACCAGTCGATGGTTTGTTGGGTTCTGTTGTCTTCGTTCTATCCTTGGATCCGATGGACTCGTCACTCAATTGAGTCTTAGTTCGCGACGACTTAGTGGATGAATGAGTGGTTTCAGAGCTTTTGAGATCGCTTTTAGAGAGCGATGTCTTCGTAGGCGTGTCCGTAGGGTTCACATCCATCCCTACGTGAACGGCATCTTCAGTGTGTCGGTGCGCTTGTGGTGTGTCTTTGGATTCAATGCGAGATATCATTGCTTTGAGTTGTCTGTACGCGAAGTAACCACCGATTAATAGACCAATACTTATGGCACCGTCGATGCCGATGACAGTGCTTTGGAACCAGTCGTGTGCTCCAGAGTGTGGTTCAGACATATCGTGGCGTGTATTGCAAGTAATGGTTAGCCACTGATGACCGGATCAATTGAAATGTCACTCAAATGTAAAGCCAACGCATAATGAGTGCGAATAACGAGTAATCCTTTGAAAGCAATAATTGTTTTGCGAATCAATTGCCAAACAATTTCTTGCCATTCAATGGATTCGTTGTTCACATAAGACGTACGACTCATTAGTATTCATCGCGTTTGCTATGAGAGTGACCCGACTATTGCTGAATGTTTGGTGCCATTCTAATAGGGTGTGAGAGATACACGGATGTAGATCACCCAGTTCACTATATTCTTGATTGCTATCATTTTAAATCGGATTTTTCTAATCGTTCAAATTGTTTTAAATACTTTCAGGTTAGGTTATGTTTTAATTTGTACAGGTGTAGTTGACTTTAAAAAGTTATTAATATAATTTAAGTGTTATCATTGTGAAATGTTATGGATTATTTTTTATAATTTAAGTAACAAAGTGGGTTTAATTTATTTTATATATTTTGCTATTAATAAATTTATTTATGTTTTTTAATGCTATAAATGTGTTTATAATAACACGTGGAAATTATGTTATTTTTTAAATATAATTTTCCACGTAATATATCAATTTTCGTAAATATATTAAGAAATAATTATGCCTATAATTATTTTTAAAGTATATATTAATAGATTTAGCAAGACCTTTTATTATATAAAATTAATGAATTTGTTACACCATTTGCTACAAAATTGTGAAATATTATTTTATTAATTTGAAATATTCTAGTTAACTTTTAAACAAAATATACAGTACATATTAATTCTTATAAGCTAAGAATTTAAAAAAGTAATCTTTAATTTTGATGATTATTTAAACCCTTATCAGTTTATCAGTCAATTAATAGAGCATTAAATATATAGTCAATAAATTTATTATCATTATTTTTAATAGATAATTATAGTTGCGAATAACATATAAAGGATATTTTTAAAATTGCTCATTGCTATCATTAGGCTTATTACAAAATATGGAAATTTAATAATTGAGATGTGAAATATAAAAAATAATGGAGATTTAATAAACCAGTTTTGAATTCAGTTAGTGTTACGGATTATTGCATTGCCTTCGTAAACACATATATTAGGAAATTTTCAGTAGTTTTTGACAACCGAGTTGCTGTACAGCTATATTTTTGTATAAATTAAACAAAATCTGTGTTTAAATAAGACAATAGTTTAATAAAACTTAAAAGTGACTGAACATTCATAGAGATGACGAGTGGAAAGGTAGACATAAACGGTTGGCCTGTTTGGTATGAGAAGTTTGGGTCAGGACCTGATGTCTTATTACTTATACCCGGAGCCATTGGTATGTTAAATATATAACAATTGTGTAAAATATTTATTAACTTGGCAACTCTGTCAGGCACCGGCAGAAGTGACTTCATGCCGCAACTGGAAGGTGACCACGCATTTGACCAGGATAAATATACGTTGATATGCATAGAGCTACCCGGTTGGGGTCGATCCCGACCTCCGGAAAGGAGATATGATCGCAATGTCTATTTAAATGATGCGGACTGTGCTCTCAAATTAATGGATGTAATTACTTATGAATATTTCAATAATATGAATACTTCAAACATAGATTTAATATATTTGTTTAGATACTGGGTTACAAATATTTTTCGATAATTGGCTTTTCAGAAGGGGGGAAAATCGGCATTTATATGTGCATTAAAAGTCAAACTCGTATAAAGGGTCTGGTTCGTAAGTATTGAATAGTTGTATTAACAAGTTACAAATATATTAAAACTAATTTCATTATTTTATTCAATATTAATAACACTATAAGACCTGAAATAGGTCTCAATATCCAGTGATGAGCGATAAATGTTTGACTTTCAAATATATTACATTATATTTTTAAATAAAATTTTAGTGATTAATAAATAAGAAGTTATAAAAAGTAATAAAAAGTGTAATTTAAAATACAAATGTGTAATAATTATATTTTTTATGTTTCATTGCGTTAGTGATCTCGATCTTCGTGAAGGTGACCCCACAGACAGTGGCCCCGACACTGGCCACACAAAACACCAGCCAATGGCCACAA